AGAGGGGAAGAAGAACTATAGTTAATTTCCAACGCGAGCCACTGTATAATAAATACGCAGGAATGTTGCTCAGAAGAGGCGGTTACAGCGAGGAAGCTGGCGCCGAATTTAAAACCGAGTCGCGTATCCTTAACAGAAATAAAAGTGTGACACGGTGGCCCGTTCCTCAATGGCTGTGCAAAAGTTGCTCGCGCGATCGGAAGGCGTTTGATACCTGGGCCGGATTCTGCTCGTGGACGTTAGGTCAATTCTCCGCGAGCGGCCATTACAAAAAGAAGAAAAAGAAAAAGAGAAAGAGAAAGAAAGAAAGAAGATTCGGCGGGCCGTGTACGCGTGCGCGCACGCGCACGCACACGCTCGCGCAGGAAGTGACGAGGAAGGTGGCGGTTGCGGCGGATAGAAGAAGAGGGAAACCTGCTCAAGATGAGACGAGAATGACCAGGGGGCAGCGCACGCGAATCCATAATGATACACCATCGAGCGAGCAGGCCTCTTGCCTGGATAAAAACGAGTGGACACTGTTCTCGCGCGGAATCACGTCCACCGCGTCAACTTGGCCCTCCTTGTCCTCGAAAAATGTGAGCGTGGCTCGTTAAAAATTATGCCGCAAAATCGATACTTGGGCCGTCGCTGAAAAATTCAATCAACCGTCGGGACGATCTTCACTCGGCCGCGCTTCATCGGGAGCCGCTTGCTCGTGTAAGCGGGATTATTATTCGGCCAGTTGTTTTCGAACCGGGCTCGAGTTCACTTTCCATCTCGTTTCGTATTCACGCCCGCCAATTTCGGAATGTGTAATTGCACGATTGCGTGTTCTCGGTTTCTGCGGTTTTCGAGAATCAACGCTCGCGGTTTTCCGACTCTCGTCGTGGATGGAACAATGTTGTCTCATTTCGGGAACGAGTTAATTCCAGCGACGAGAATCGGAACGTGTTCAAAGAAAGAGAGAGAGAGAGAGTTTCACGAATAAATAGTATTTTTGGTATCGCGATGGAAAGATTATTCTTCTTAGAATTTTAGGTTATGTTTTTGTCCAGACTTCGATCGAGGAAAAATTCAAACAAATAAAGTGTACATATATATTTAACGATACTCATTTTAATTCTATGTAGTAAAATCGGCCTAATTGAATCGAGGTAATGGGATTAATGGCGTCGAGTTAATAAGAGGTTGGAAAGTTACCGTTCCAGGAATCATGCACCACACGCGTTCTTTCGTAGAAATGACTGCAGACACAGAGGTACAATTGAGGAAAAAAGAAAGCAGAATGATTTACAATAAGCGTCATGGCATCGCAGACGTAAAATTAAGTAAAATTTCAACGATATGAAAAAAATGTTTCCTTTAAATATAGTACATATAATGGTCTCGCACAAATATTCGAATCCAATAAGAGTGATTATTTCTTCTTTTTACTTGTTCTTTTTATTTGAAATAAAAATTATTCTGTACGAGTGTAAAAAGTTTTTTCAAAAAAAATACTTTTTTGAAAGAGTACAAGAGCTGAAAGTACAAGAATTGCGTAGAAAGGATTAATGAATCTTCACGTGTACGGCCATAAACAATTTGGAAAGTGCACTTTTAATACACGTTATAAGTTTACTTACATATTTCACTACGTAAAGAAGAACAGGTAATCCCGTGATCATCGATCGAAATTGTCAGTCGATTGATAAATATCGATCCGCTGTTCGTAAAAACTACTTCTCAAATGTATCGGCGAAATCAATTGTACTTCTTTTCCTTTATTTTTTCGTCTCTCATTTCTCAATAAGAGAATTATATTTAAAGAAAGTTCTACAAACAACCATTGTAAATTTTAAAAAGGTTAATTAATTCGATTTTGAACAGTTATGCATTTAACGTGTTACATATATTACTTACGTGATTGATTAGGAAGCAGAAACGAATATTATCTTCTTTGAATAGAAAAAACGATGAAGAAGAAAAAAAATGACACAAAATCCAGAACAACGAATTTAAAGAAACAGCGATCGGTTGTCGCTGTAAAGATGATTAAATTATTACCAAATCGTTTTTGGTTTGAGGTTAGTTTGTAGTACGCGAAGAGGGCGTTGCGCGAAATGAGTTACGTATGTATATGCGTTGGTCTATTTTCTTTCCCCTGTAGGTTCTGTTAGTGCCGATTCCACCTCCAGCTCGTTTATTTTCACGAGGCAACAGTGTTTCAGTCGCTGAACGGAGGGTGCACGCACGCCGAGAAAATAAAAGGCAGCCGCCTCGGGAGCGCGTTTCACGATACACCGGCTCATCGCCGGAGAAAAGGATCGGCCACGCGGCGGGTCAGACAGAGACGAAGAACCCGGGTTCGGTGGGAACCCGAGAAGTTGCTGCCGGTCCCGCTCCCGTCGTCGCTCTAGCGATGGCCACCGATCGCCCTCGAAACGTATCAAACTCGCTCTGGTCATCATCTCGATGCGATTTCAATGCAATTTTTTATCCTATTCGACTTTGTTTTCTATTGTTTCACTTCGTGAAATTTGCGTACGTCTTCCCAATAGTAACGACATTGATTTTATTCATTTATCGTCACTGTAATATGGTTCTGTAAAAAAAAAAAAAAAAAAAAAAATC